TTCTACGTAGCAACTAGATTAATAAAATAAAAATGCGTTTAATTAAAATTTGCTTTGAGCAAACTCAGCTGGATTTTGAACTATTTACTTGAAACGAACTGTGAGAAACTATTTAGAAAGAAGTCCATAAATGTTTGATAGCGGAATTTTGACTCCAATGCGACCGTAACGGTTTTGATCAGTTTTATCTTGAAAGCAATCTTGATGAGAATGAAGTCTGAACTTTGGTAGCTGTGTACTTAGTTCTCACGAGAAGTGGAAAACTCGCTCCTTGGGAAACTTTGCGTTACGGAAATGTTTGCAATGCGTTTAACAGATCTTTTAAATAAAAGTATAGAAAGCGGAACGTTTGTAACTTTTATTAACACGATTATTCTTAGATGCACGTATTGACGTTGGTTTCATTGTTACGACTAGATTTAACCTTGTATTGCTTTGTCGGAATGAAATGAGTTATGAAACTGCGGCTGGTTTTAATACAATTTAATTCCGGTTTTGCTTCGATTTTGAACTATGACAATACTGACTATTGTGTTCTGAGAGAGGAATTGCTAGACTGTCTAAGTTGTCTAGATCAAACGATCCACTTATCAAAACAAATTAAACTCTAATTGATTCCGTATTCGAATTGGTGGATGCCGAATAAAAACACGAACGCTAATACTCTCAGAATGTACACATCAAAATTGAAAGATTTTTTTTATTTTGAAACGTTTAACCACCCGAAAGAACATAAATTCTAAAATGCAAATCAATGAGATCAAACAACAGAATCCGGAATTCTCCGTGAAATCATCGATTTTATCTTCCCCTATATACTCTGCGGGTTGTACAAACATGTTTTATCCCTTTTATAAATGCAGGCTTTCAAGTAGCTAATTAGTGCGGTCCAAATTTGAACAAAAATAGACTTTAATAAAAAAACGTTTATAAAATTTATTTACCCGGAACGCAATTCCCGAAGCCTTGGGAGCTTTTCAATTTCGAAAATTCTTAGCGCATTGTTGGAGGCGAAGTAAATAATAAGTGAAACAATTATTATGGCTGGAGTTAAATGTTTGGTTGCGTTTTATTGAAATAATTTTCGGTCGTTCAATTTCCTCTTTGATAAACCCACTGGAAAATTGTAATTATTAGCCGGAACTTTATACTCGAAATCGTGCCGGTATTAGCCTGAAATTGCACGGACAAGGTTTTGTTTTTCTCTGTTATCTGACGTGCGTTTTATGATAATATAAAACTGACCGGCACCGTAAAAACGGGCTATTAATCAATAAGATCGACTCCAGATCGCTGGCTTGTGTGCTAATTTAATTAAATTATTATTTAAAATAATCCCGGGGCAACACACATTTCCCCAAAAAGCAATTATTTGCTCTGGAAATAATGACCGTTCGTTTAACACCGCATCCGGTGAAATATTATTAGCGTATACTGGGTTTTTATGACTAATAAAAAAGTGTCAATAATGATAGCCTCGGCACACATGACGTGAGGACTCGGGGTGATAATTGCCATTGTTTTAAATTTTATGAACAGGATTTGAGATACTATGACGGGCTTAAAAATGGACGGTAATAATTCGCTAAAAAGGATACAATTAGATTGCTCAATGGCGATTTTAACGATTTTGAAAGTTTTAATAACGTCTTTAAAAGCAACTTTGTATCCTAATGACTGCTCCAGTTTTAGAGTCAAGGCAGTCAGATTAATCTGCCAACTTAAAATATCTCAATTTTCAGCGATACCGTTTTTACACTTACGTAATAAATTATGGACGAATTAAAACCATCTTCATTTTGTCTACACTACCTGATTATACTGTGCTTATGTAACGTATTACAGTACAAAGGAAATTGTATTTTTTCAACTGCGTGTCGGTAAATAAGACATCCATTTACCGTCATCTACAACTCGGTGAATTTTCAATCATAATGTTACGTTCCAACGTTATTATGTTATATTTTATTAACTTAATTCAAAAAAACGATTCTTTCTTTTTTTTTTAAACATAATTCAGCTTTAGTCAATATTGCCACGGACGGAAAAACAAACAAATGCGAAAATTCTCTCTACACATGATATAATTTTTAACTTATAGGTTTCGCATTAATTCGTCACTGAAATGTGGCACACGATATAGAGCAATAAAGTTAATGAGTTTTTCTGGCAGATTCCCTCAAAGCCCTACGCTATTTCAAGGGATTTCTTGACTACTTTGTGTTTTCTTTTAATTGTATTCACCACTAAACCTCCACGATCAAAGCTTCAACATTTCGTAAAATTCGTAGGGCACAAAGTTGAACCTCGAGATCAATCTCGAGATTATTCTGCAAAAAATTTAATAAAGAATGTGCGAAAAAAGTTTAAATTCGCGTGAACGGAGACACTTTTGTTTGTTCGATCATCAGCTGGCGCAGTCGTTAGGATTACCATTACCTGTCTGAGATCAAAGACGTCATTACCAACACCTAAAGCGGTTTATATCCTATAAATGCGTAAAGGATTAATATTTAAGCTTTATCGTTTAAATTACTTTAAATCATGATCTCAGCTTTGATCCCGAAACACTATTTTTGGAGCTTAAAATCGAAAGCTTTTGAAATTTTGTTTGTACAAGAATTACTTTTATTTTAAGTTGAGATTACTTGATTACACAGTGTAATGTGTCAATATGTAGTTTAATCTAGAATTGTGTTGCTGTTTGTAATGTCGGTATTTTTGTACCTACCTTAAATAATAATGTTATTTTCTCAAGATGTGAACACCATAAAAAAGGTATTGTTTGTAATAAAAAATTAAATAAACGTCCTTGTTGTCTTTGTTGTCTTCGATCAAACAGTTTGTCTCAAAACAATATCGGGTTTGTGTCCTTTAGAAGGTTCTGTTGGGTATTATTGGAAAATGCTAAGTTATATGTATGTGGATAAAAATACAGACATTGAATTTCGAAATAAGACAATTTGATAACGTCGCTAATATTACAGAAAAGAGTCCTTTGTTTCTTAAGAACATTAATCTCGAAATTCAAACTTTAATATGGAATCTTCAATGATTTGAATTCTCAAAGTTCAAAACTCCTTTTTAAGTACAATCGAACAAATTAGTGCAAAACGAAACAAGTATCTTAAAACTCGAAGCTGTGAAATTTAACGACGGATATTTTCTCTCGTAAATTTTAAAGTCCCCATTATATTTTTAGAATGTTAAGCTTTCCTAAAAACGAAGTTGATTTGATTGGGTTATCCTAATGACTACGCCATCGATGATTAACTAATGTCTAAATTTTAACCGGAAGCTTCGACATTAGTTAGTTAGAAATCATTTTTGTTTTAAAATTTGACTAATAATTGATTTAAACAAGTTTCCATATTTTGACATTGTTCAGCTTTTAAAATTTTAAATTTCAGTGTTTCACAAAACTTGGCCCTGGTGTCAGTAAACGAATAATACAGCACCTATCAAATTCCGTACGAAATTCAAGCCCTGAAATCAATCGTGTCGGAGGAGGGTTTCGAAGCTTTTACTTCTAAATCTAAATATATGTTGCACATTAATATCAAAATGTTATCATTAAAAGTCAAAGTTGGACACTTAAAATTTGGTAGAAGTCGAAACTCGTTTTTTTTTATATTAGAGCGTTGTCAGTTGCAGCAAATAAGTTTTACTATTTTAAACAACAATAAAAAAACAAATTTTAATTAAAAATTGAAATATCCTAACGACTGCGCCAAACGATGAGCGTCACTTCTTTAATTTTTCAAACGGAAATGGTGATATTTTTGATATATAATGTATAATAATATTAAAATTTGATCTTCAAAGGTCAAAGTTGAGGTCTTCAATTGCTGAAAAAGTTTTCCTGACAACTTCGGAAATGAAAAATTCGGCGTTGTGAATATTACACCGACGGGGACTTTGTTTTAAAAAATAATTCTCGGCATTTCGTATTTTATACACCGACAAAAATTATTACAATTTTGGCGAAACTCGGAACTGTTTTTTTTTAGAGATGTTTACGGTTATCTCGTCAGTCATAGTAAACATTTTTTTCTATTTCAAGTACATATCGGTAAAAATAATTGGATTAAAAATCGAAATATCCTACTAACTGCGCCAACCGATTTGAATTTTTCGGGTGCAAGTTTTAGTTACCGTGCGTTGAAGTTTTGTTTTTCCGCGTCATCCGGTGTGTGTTTTATGGTAATATAAAACCGGCCGGCTACTGTAAGACCGGTCTATTAATCAATAAGATCGACTCCAGATCGCTGGGTTGTGTGTTAATTTAATTACATTATTGTTTAAAATAATCCCGAAGCACGCATTTCCCCGTCAGAAAGCAATTATTTTCTCACGGAATAATGAGCGTTCGTTGAAGCCGCATCCGGTGAAATATCATTGGCGAATGTATGGTGTGCAAGAGGCGAAATATTTTTTGCGGCGGTTGCGCTCGGAATTCGCGGAGCGCCTTTTCCGTGGCGATTTCTGAGTTAAAACGCAGCAAAACACCAATAAAAACTTTTGTTTTGCTAATAAAAGTTAATTGTTGGGCGACAATTGCCGGTTTAGCTTAAGTCAATAGTGCGTTAGTCGGTCGCGGCGGGCGCTTTTTTTGTTTTGTTTAATAAAGCGAAAACATCTCCCCGGTCTATTTTTGCGGGCTGTATATTTTTATTTATAAACATTATCTTAATAAATTGTGGAGCGGGCGCATAAAAGAGATTTCGGGAAGATAGGCGGTAATGAGCCGGCGTTTGCCGGTTTGCGAGCGGCGGCAAAACTTGTGCTTGCCACATGTCCCAAAAATCCGCCCAAGTCTGCCGGTGCGAAAAAAAACGAAATATTCGAGTTCGCTCGCTCGTGGCAAAGTTGCGGCACTCACAAAACTTCGCAAACAAATCAACTCGCGACTAGTCGAGAAAACGCGCCGCTTTCCTTGCGAGAAAACAAGTTTTTCCGGCGCGAAGCCAACTCGCCTCGGAAAAAACAAACTTTCTTACCTGAAGTGCAGAGCGACCTGGGGCAGCGGAGCGCAGCGATGACGCCTCTCGACGGTGCTTTTCGACACTGGCGGCAGCGTCGGTTTCGCTGATGACGCCGTCCGGGTGTTGAAGATACCGGACGGCGCACATTGATTTACGCAAGCGCCACAGGTCGGCCCTCACCTATCGATACACCTCGTGCCGTGAAAACCGCCTCCGAAACGCCAAAATCTCGCAAACTCCCAAAAACGGCACTATTGTCGCCGCGAAAACGCCGCCAAAATTTACACGTACACGTGCGCTGCCCCCGGACGCCCAGGCAACCCAGAGCGCGCCGTCAGATTCGAACCGCGCCGAATTCACTTGTTGCCAAACTTTTCGAATTGCGTAGCCGCGCGATGGGCCGAGGACGATTATAGGGCCGAGAAGACCGCAAGGGCTTTTTGCTCGAGAGAAAAACATTCGGCGAAAGTTATTTACACAGAACTTAACTTGCCTACGAGTGCCCGAGAATTTTATTTATTATTTCATATCCTAAAAAAACACTGGGGCTCCACGAGACCTTAAAAAAAAGACACTAATAAACATTAGTGTCTTTAAACCCCGACAATCTTTCATGTCCTTTCAAAAAAAATTGACACAGACGACGGACAGACAGACAGACAGACAGACAGACGGACGGGAGACTAGATTATTCGTAGAAACATGAAAGTAGCCAAATTTTTTAAAATAAAACGATACTAAGAGCCTCCGAGGTTATTTCCCATTTCGAAAAAATATACACTAGGAACTCCCAAGATTCTTCCACATTCTTTAAAAAGTATGACACTTGAAGCCCTCGAGAATTTTAGGTTCTTAAAAAAAATGCTACGAGCCTGTAAGATTCTTTCACATTCTTTAAAATAAAAAGATATTAGGCGCCCCCGAGATTCATTCGCGTTTCTAAAAATACTAGGGAGTTCCCGAGATTATTTCACATTCTATTAAAAAAGGACACCAATGGTCCTCAAGATTCTTTCACATTCTTAAAAAACACTAGGGGTCCCCGAGATTCTTTCACATTCTCTAAAATGAAAAGACACCCTCGACATTATTTTAGATTCTTAAAAAAATGCTAGGAGCCCTCGAGAGCTTTCACATTCTTTAAAATAAAAAGACACTAGGAGCCCTCGAGATTATTTTGGTTTCTTAAGAAACATGCTAAGAGCTCACAAGATTCTTTCATATTCTTGAATAAAAAGATAGTAGAGCCCCCGAGATTCTTTCATGTTCTTAAAATAAAAAGACACTAGGAGTCCTCGAGATTGTTGCGCATTCTTAAAAAAAAAAAACACCAGGGATTCCCGAGACTCTATGTACGCCAGGACTCCTCAAGATCCTTTCACATTTTTTAAAATAAAAGGACAGCAGGAGCACTCGCGATTATTTTAGATTCTTAAAAAAATGCTAGGAGCTCTCAAGATCTTTCACATTCTTTAAAATAAAAAGATACTAAGCGCCCCCAAAATTCTTTCACATTCTTTAAGATAAAAAGACACTAGGAGCCCTCGAGATTACTTTAGTTTTTTAAGAAACATGGTAAGATCTTTCAAGATTCTTTCATATTCTTGAATAAAAGGATACTAGAGCCCCCGAGACTCTTTCACTTTCTTTAAAATAAACAGATACTTAGGGCCTCCCAGAAACTTTTATAAAAATAAATACTTGGACCGGCCGAGATTCTTTCATATTTTGTAAGATAAAAAGACAATAAGGGCCCCCGAGATTATTTGAGATTCTTAAAAAATGTACGTAATGAGTCCTCAAGATCCTTTCACATTTTTTTAAATAAAAAGACATTAGGAGCTCTCGAGATTATTTTAGATTCTTAAAAAAATGCTAGGAGCCCTCAAGATCTTTCACATGCTTTAAAATAACAAGATACTAAGCGCCCCCAAAATTTTTTCACGTTCTTTAAAATAAAAAGACACTAGGAGCCCTCGAGATTATTTTAGTTTCTTAAGAAACATGCTAAGAGCTCCCAAGATTCTTTCATATTCTTGAATAAAAAGATACTAGAGGGCGCCGAGATTCTTTCATATTCTTAAAATTAAACGACACTAGGCATTCTCGAAATTGTTGCACATTCTTAAAAAAATCACCAGAGATCCCCGAGACTCTTCCACATTCTTTAAAATAAACAGACTTAGAGATCCTCAGATACTTTTATATTCTTAGAAAATAAAGACTTTAAGCGTCCGAGATTCTTTCATACTCTTTAAGATAAAAATACTATAAGGGCCACCGAGATTATTTGAGATCCTTAAAAAACACACTAGGAGCCCTCAAGAGCTTTCACACTCTTTAAAATAAAAAGATACTAGGTGGCCCGAAATTTTTTCGTGTTCTTAAACAAAATACGTTAGGAGCCCCCAAGATTCTTTCACATTCTTTAAAATACAAAGACACTAGGAGCTCCCGAGATTATTTTTGAATCTTTAAAAAAATGCTAGGAGCCTTCAAGAGCTTTCACATTCTTTAAAATAAAAAGGCGTCTCTGAAATTCTTTCATATTCCTAAACAAAATACGCTAGGCGTCCTCAAGATCCTTTCACATTTTTTAAATTAAAAAGACACAAGGAGCCCTCAAGATTTAAAATAAACAGATACTTAGGGCCCTCTAGATACATTTTTATATTCTTAAAAAATAAAGACTTGGAGTGCCCGAGATTCTTTCATATTTTTTAAGATAAAAAGACAGTAAGAGCCCCCGAGATTATTTGAGATTCTTAAAAAATGTACGCCAGAAGTCCTCAAGATCCTTTCACATTTTTTTTAATAAAAAGCCACTAGGAGGGATCAAGAGCTTTCACATTCTTCAAAATGAAAAGATCCTAGGCGCCCTCGAAATTCTTTCACATTCTTAAAAAAAAAAGGGACACTTGGGGTTCCTGAGATTCTTTCATATTCTTAAACTAAATACACTAGGACCCAAGATTCTTTCACATTCTTTAAAATAAAAAGTCCCTAGGAGCCCTCGAGATTATTTTAGATTCTTAAAAAAATGCTAAGAACCCTCAAGAGCTTTCAGATTCCTTAAAATAAAAAGATACTAGGCACTCCCGAATTTTTTTCAGATTCTTAAAAAGACACTATGGGTTCCTGAGATTCTTTCATATTCTTAAACAAAACACGCTAGGAGCCCCCAAGATTCTTTCACATTCTTTAAAATAAAAAGATACTAAGCGCCCCCAAAATTATTTCACATTCTTAGACAAAATACGCTAGGAGTCCCCAAGATTCTTTCACATTCTTTAAAATAAAAAGACACTAGGAGCCATCGAGATTATTTTAGTTTCTTAAGAAACATGCTAAGAGCTCCTAAGATTCTTTCATATTCTTGAAGAAAAAGATAATACAGCTTCCAAGATTCTTTCATGTTCTTAAAATAAAAAGACACAAGGGGTCTTCGAGATTGTTGCGCATTCTTAAAAAAAAAACACCAGGGATCCTCGAGACTCTACGTACGCCAGGACTCCTCAAGATCCTTTCATATTTTTTTAAATAAAAAAACAGTAGGAGCACTCGCGATTATTTTAGATTCTTAAAAAAATACTAGGCGCCTTCAAGATCTTTCACATTCTTTAAAATAAAAAGATACCAAGTGCCCCCAAAATTATTTCACATTCTTAGACAAAATACGCTAGGAGCCCCCAAGATTCTTTCACATTTTTTAAAATAAAAAGACACAAGGGGCCCTCAAGATTTAAAATAAACAGATACTTAGGGCCTCCCAGATACTTTTATATTCTTTAAAAATAAAGACTTGGGGCGGCCGAAATTCTTTCATATTCTGTAAGATAAAGAGACAATAAGGGCCCCCAAGATTATTTGAGATTCTTAAAAAGACATTAGGAGCCCTCAAGAGCTTTCACATTCTTTAAAATAAAAATACTCTAGGAGCCTTCAAGATTACTTTCGTTTCTTAAGAAACATGGTAAGAGCTCCCAAGGGCCCCCCGAGATTATTTGAGATACTTAAAAAATGTACGCTAGGAGTCCTCAAAATCCGTTCACATTTTTTAAAATAAAAACACACTAGGAGCCCTCAAGAATTTTCACATTCTTTAAAATAAAAAGATACTAAGCGGCCCAAAATTCTTTCATATTATTAAAAGAAAAATAGCACTAGGGGTTCCTGAGATTCTTTCATGTTCTTAAACAAAATACGTTAGGAGCCCCCAAGATTCTTTCACATTCTTTAAAATAAAAAGACACTTGGAGCCCCCGAGATTATTTTAGAATCTTTAAAACAATGCTAGGAGCCTTCAAGAACTTTCACATTCTTTAAAATAAAAAGGCGCTTCTGAAATTCTTTCACATTCTTAAAAACAAAGAACACTAGGGGTTCCTGAGATTTTTTCGTATCCTAAACAAAATACGCTAGGAGTCATCAAGATCCTTTCACATTTTTTAAAATAAAAAGACACAAGGAGCCCTCAAGATTTAAAATAAACAAATACTTAGGGCCCTCTAGATATTTTTATATTATTAAAAAAGAAAAACTTGGAGTGCCCGAGATTCTTTCATTTTTTAAAGATAAAAAGACAATAAGAGCATCTGAGATTATTTCAGATTCTTAAAAAATGTATGCTAGGAGTCCTCAAGATCTTTTCACATTCCCTAAAAGGTAAGGCACCAGGAGCGCCAGGGATTCTTTCACATTTTTTAAAATAAAATGACACTAGGAGCCCTCAAGATTTTCTCACATTCTTTAAAATAAAAAGATACTAGAGAATCTTTCACATTAAAAAAAATATATATACTAGGGAAACCTGAGATTCTTTCACACACTTTAAAATAAAAAGACACTTAGAGCGTCCGAGATTATTTCAGACTATTAAAAAAGACACTAGTGGTCTACGAGATCCTTTTATATTTTCAAAATAAAAAGATACTAGAGACCCGCAGAGAATCTGTCAGATTAAAAAAAAGATACACACGTACACACACACTAAGAGCCCCATGATGTTTCAAATTCTTAAAGAACTCTAGGAGTCCTGAGATTTTTTTCACATCTATTAAGAAAAATATTTTAGAACTTCCTGAGATTCTTTCATATTCTTTTTTAAT